ACAGAGATCACTAGACACACACTTAGACCAGCAGACACACAGAGATCACTAGTCACTCACTTAGACCAGCAGACACACAGAGATCACTAGTCACTCACTTAGACCAGCAGACACACAGAAATCAATAGACACTCACTTAGACCAGCAGACACACAGAGATCACTTGTCACTCACTTAGACCAGCAGACACACAGAGATCACTAGACACTCACTTAGACCAGCAGACACACGGAGATCACAAGACACACTTAGACCAGCAGACACGCAGAGATCACTAGTCACTCACTTAGACCAGCAGCCACACAGAGATCACTAGACACTCACTTAGACCAGCAGACACACACAGATCACTAGACACACACTTAGACCAGCAGACACACAGAATCATTAGACACACACTTAGACCAGCAGACACACAGAGATCACTAGACACACACTTAGACCAGCAGACACACAAAGATCACTAGACACTCACTTAGACCAGCAGACACACAGAGATCACTAGACACTCACTTAGACAAGCAGACACACAGAGATCACTAGACACACACTTAGACCAGCAGACACACAGAGATCACTAGTCACACACTTAGACCAGCAGACACGCAGAGATCACTAGTCACTCACTTAGACCAGCAGACACACAGAGATCACTAGTCACTCACTTAGACCAGCAGACACACAGAAATCACTAGACACTCACTTAGACCAGCAGACACACAGAGATCACTAGTCACTCACTTAGACCAGCAGACACACAGAGATCACTAGACACTCACTTAGACCAGCAGACACACAGAGATCACTAGACACACTCAGACCAGCAGACACGCAGAGATCACTAGTCACTCACTTAGACCAGCAGACACACAGAGATCACTAGACACTCACTTAGACCAGCAGACACAAAGAGATCACTAGACACACACTTAGACCTGCAGACACACAGAATCATTAGACACACACTTAGACCAGCAGACACACAGAGATCACTAGACACACACTTAGACCAGCAGACACACAGAGATCACTAGTCACTCACTTAGACCAGCAGCCACACAGAGATCACGAGACACACACTTAGACCAGCAGACACACAGAGATCACTAGCCACTCACTTAGACCAGCAGACACACAGAGATCACTAGTCACTCACTTAGACCAGCAGACACACAAAGATTACTAGACACACACTTAGACCAGCAGACAGAGATCACTAGTCACTCACTTAGACAAGCAGACACACAGAGATCACTAGTCACTCACTTAGACCAGCAGACACACAGAGATCACTAGACACACACTTAGACCAGCAGACACACAGAGATCACTAGACACTCACTTAGACCAGCAGACACACAGAGATCACAAGACACTCACTTAGACCAGCAGACACACAGAGATCACTAGTCACACACTTAGACCAGCAGACACACAGAGATCACTAGACACACACTTAGACCAGCAGACACACAGAGATCACTAGACACACACTTAGACCAGCAGACACGCAGAGATCACTAGTCACTCACTTAGACCAGCAGACACACAGAGATCACTCGACACACACTTAGACCAGCAGACACACGGAGATCACTAGACAAACACTTAGACCAGCAGACACGCAGAGATCCCTAGTCACTCACTTAGACCAGCAGACACACAGAGATCACTAGACACTCACTTAGACCAGCAGACACACAGAGATCACTAGACACACACTTAGACCAGCAGACACACAGAGATCACTAGTCACTCACTTAGACCAGCAGCCACACAGAGATCGCTCGACACACACTTAGACCAGCAGACACACAGAGATCACTAGCCACTCACTTAGACCAGCAGACACACAGAGATCACTAGACACACACTTAGACCAGCAGACACACAGAGATCACTAGTCACTCACTTAGACCAGCAGACACAAAGAAATCAATAGACACTCACTTAGACCAGCAGACACACAGAGATCACTAGTCACTCACTTAGACCAGCAGACACACAGAGATCACTAGTCACTCACTTAGACCAGCAGACACACAGAGATCACTAGTCACTCACTTAGACCAGCAGACACAAAGAAATCAATAGACACTCACTTAGACCAGCAGACACACAGAAATCACTAGTCACTCACTTAGACCAGCAGACACACAGAGATCACTAGTCACTCACTTAGACCAGCAGACACAAAGAAATCAATAGACACTCACTTAGACCAGCAGACACACAGAGATCACTTGTCACTCACTTAGACCAGCAGACACACAGAGATCACTAGACACTCACTTAGACCAGCAGACACACAGAGATCACTAGACACACTTAGACCAGCAGACACGCAGAGATCACTAGTCACTCACTTAGACCAGCAGCCACACAGAGATCATTAGACACTCACTTAGGCCAGCAGACACACAAAGATTACTAGACACACACTTAGACCAGCAGACAAACAGAGATCACTAGTCACTCACTTAGACAAGCAGACACACAGAGATCACTAGTCACTCACTTAGACCAGCAGACACACAGAGATCACTAGACACACACTTAGACCAGCAGACAAGCAGAGATCACTAGTCACTCACTTAGACCAGCAGACACACAGAGATCACTAGTCACTCACTTAGACCAGCAGACACACAGAAATCACTAGACACTCACTTAGACCAGCAGACACACAGAGATCACTAGTCACTCACTTAGACCAGCAGACACACAGAGATCACTAGACACTCACTTAGACCAGCAGACACACAGAAATCACTAGACACTCACTTAGACCAGCAGACACACAGAGATCACTAGTCACTCACTTAGACCAGCAGACACACAGAGATCACTAGTCACTCACTTAGACCAGCAGACACACAGAAATCACTAGACACTCACTTAGACCAGCAGACACACAGAGATCACTAGTCACTCACTTAGACCAGCAGACACACAGAGATCACTAGACACTCACTTAGACCAGCAGACACACAGAGATCACTAGACACACTCAGACCAGCAGACACGCAGAGATCACTAGTCACTCACTTAGACCAGCAGACACACAGAGATCACTAGACACTCACTTAGACCAGCAGACACACATAGATCACTAGACACTCACTTAGACCAGCAGACACACAGAGATCACTAGACACTCACTTAGACCAGCAGACAAACAGAGATCACTAGTCACTCACTTAGACCAGCAGACACACAGAGATCACGAGACACACACTTAGACCAGCAGATATACAGAGATCACTAGACACACACTTAGACCAGCAGACACACAGAGATCACTAGACACACTTAGACAAGCAGACACACACTTAGACCATCAGACACACAGCGATCACTAGACACTCACTTAGACCAGCAGACACGCAGAGATCACTAGACACACACTTAGACCAGCAGACACACAGAGATCACTAGACACACACTTAGACCAGCAGACACACAGAGATCACTAGACACACACTTAGACCAGCAGACACACAGAGATCACTAGACACACACTTAGACCATCAGACACACAGAGATCAATAGTCACTCACTTAGACCAGCAGACACACAGAGATCACTAGTCACTCACTTAGACCAGCAGACACACAGAGATCACTAGACACACACTTAGACCAGCAGACACACAGAGATCACTAGACACTCACTTAGACCAGCAGACACACAGAGATCACTAGACACTCACTTAGACCAGCAGACACACAGAGATCACTAGTCACACACTTAGACCAGCAGACACACAGAGATCACTAGACACACACTTAGACCAGCAGACACACAGAGATCACTAGATACACACTTAGACCAGCAGACACGCAGAGATCACTAGTCACTCACTTAGACCAGCAGACACGCAGAGATCCCTAGTCACTCACTTAGACCAGCAGACACACAGAGATCACTAGTCACTCACTTAGACCAGCAGACACACAGAGATCACTAGACACACACTGAGACCAGCAGACACACAGAGATCACTAGACACTCACGTAGACCAGCAGACATACAGAGATCACTAGACAAACACTTAGGCCAGCAGACACACAGAGATCACTAGTCACTCACTTAGACCAGCAGACACACAGAGATCACTAGACACTCACTTAGACCAGCAGACACACATAGATCACTAGACACTCACTTAGACCAGCAGACACACAGAGATCACTAGACACTCACTTAGACCAGCAGACAAACAGAGATCACTAGTCACTCACTTAGACCAGCAGACACACAGAGATCACGAGACACACACTTAGACCAGCAGATATACAGAGATCACTAGACACACACTTAGACCAGCAGACACACAGAGATCACTAGACACACTTAGACAAGCAGACACACACTTAGACCATCAGACACACAGCGATCACTAGACACTCACTTAGACCAGCAGACACGCAGAGATCACTAGACACTCACTTAGACAAGCAGACACACAGAGATCACTAGACACTCACTTAGACCAGCCGACACACAGAGATCACTAGACACACACTTAGACCAGCAGACACGCAGAGATCACTAGTCACTCACTTAGACCAGCAGACACACAGAGATCACTAGTCACTCACTTAGACCAGCAGACACACAGAGATCACTAGACACACACTTAGACCAGCAGACACGGAAATTGCACAACACGTGTAAAAAAAATTTGCAGGAAAGATTCTTCAAGTCTTCAAGCGATTTTCGGGAAGGCATAGCACTGGAGAATCTGGCCGATTCTTTTTCGGGGGGGGGGGGAAGGGGGGCGGGGGTGTTCTGTGTGCAAACACGTCTCAAAATGAAAGGAGATATGAGGGCGTGGGAATATGGGGGACACGGAGATGCACAGACTTGGGGACACGGGGTCACGGCTGGCGCAGGATGTCTCGCTCAGCTGCGAGACACCCTGCGTAGATTTGGTAGGGCGTCGAGCCACCCCGTGCCTCGGACGCTGTGTGGGGTCCCTCAGAGGCCACACTCACCCCGTGGCCCATCATGCCGTTGTTGACAGGAAGGCCGATGAAGGTGAAGGCAGCCTCTCGGATGAAGTACGGGTTGAGGATGCGGATGTCCTCTGGTCTCCTCGGGACCTGCGTGGCCACGGACTTCCAGAAGCCCTGGATTGGGTGCTGGGTGCGCGTTCCGTGTACGTTTGCATGTAATCAGGTGTGCGTGCGTGCGCGCATGTCCGTTTGTGTGTGTTTGTACGCGAGTGTGTGTATGTGTGCGTGTGTAGGTTTGTGTGTGTGTGTGTGTTTGTATGCGAGTGTGTGTGTTTGTACGCGAGTGTGTGTATGTGTGCGCGTGTAGGTTTGTGTGTGTGTGTTTGTACGAGAGTGTGTGTGTTTGTACGCGAGTGTGTGTATGTGTGCGCGTGTAGGTTTGTGTGTGTGTGTTTGTACGCGAGTGTGTGTGTGCGTGTAGGTTTGTGCGAGTGTGTATGTATGCGAGTGTGTGTATTTAGGTTTGTGTATGTAGGTTTGTGTGTGTGTTTGTACGCGAGTGTGTGTATGTGTGTGCGTGTAGGTTTGTGTGAGTGTGTATGTATGCGAGTGTATGTAGGTTCGTGTGTGTGTATGTATGCGAGTGTGTGTATGTGTGTAGGTTTGTGTGTGTATGCGGGCGTGTTAGCCCATGGGAAATAAGAAGCCACACATGCATCGGCGTAAGCTGCTTATCGAAGCCTTTGCAGAGGCGCCAACTCCACGCTTGTGGATTGGCCGCTTTAACGCTGCTTTTGCTTCTGCGAGAAAAAACGATTTGGTGACGGTTTTATTTTTCAGCATCTTCGCTCACCGTCATGGAAACAGAATATCCCACATTGCAGCAATTAACTAAGCTCATTAAGCCACGCGACATTCCGGACGCGCACGTGTACACACACCCACACACACGTACTAAGGGATGTGTTCCCGATTTTCAAATTCGAATATCACATGTTAATAATCTGGACAATCTAAAAACAAAACTTTCGGTTCAATACGGAGGCGCGCGATCGGGTGGAGCGACGACGCTCCGACTCGGCATGACCACTGATCCATGTGTGTCCTGTACGTGCGTTGAACTTCTTTCGCACCGTACGTAGCCAACCACGCTTAATCGGAGGTTTAGCATGATCCCTCTTGTTTTGCAAGAGGACGCGGTACATTATCAAAAGATATCCCAAAAAATATAATAACATTTTTAATAACCTAAATCCATCGTTATCATAAAAAAAGTTTCCCACCCTCTGATGCTGAGAACGTGTTGAGAATTAAATGCACCAATGAGCACCTCTGACGCGAAGCCTCAAACTGTCGGTTGTCACCGTGCGCCCAGAGCTTCACCACGGGGCGTCAATGGAGCGACGGGGTGAGTCAACATTCGTGATTCATTCAAAAGCAATCCACTGTGCTCACGTCGCCGCTTCGGAAGTCGGTAAGAGCCCCTCACACGCACTTACAGACTGTGTCCATACTCACGCACATGCAACAAAGACAAAGGTCCCCTGTTACAGCCTTTACAAAGACTGTTTGGGCAAGTGCTGTTCGAGAGCACCGATGAAGGCCGGCACGGCACGAGGGGGTGGGTGGCCAACACCACACTCGGCTGCCTTTGCCTCCCCAGTGGTGATTTTTACGCACTATACCAAGTAATTATTTGAGGCTGAGTCGATCTAGGGCATGCCCAGGACCGGTTCAGATAATCACCACTGGTGTTGGTCGTCTACAATTTTTTAGACGTTGTCTGAAATGTGCTGTTAATTATGGATTTTGATGTGCTGAATTCAAATATGATAATTAAAACAACTGATTGGCTACTGTTCCCAAGATATTTACGTTTTCACATTTTAGGTCTCTATATATATTGTGTAGATAGTAGAGTTTTACTCATAAGTTGTAAACCTAGGTCTTTTCATGTGTTTATGGTTGCTTCACACGATAACATGTCACCTGTCCTGTTCACGTAACACTTTTAAATCAGCAAAAGGGTTATATAAATAAAATGTATCATGAAACAAAAGGCAAAAAACTATTATGTATATATAAGTACAAAGTTTAGTCCTTATTCAGTGTCTACTCGGCGATTCTTGGCTTGTCTCTTGTATTCATTACATGGAGCATCTCGTGTCACTGTCCAGCAATAGTCTGCAAGCATTGATGGGCTCCATTTGCCCTGATAGCGTTTCTCCATTGTCGCAATGTCCCGGTGACATCGCTCGCCATGCTCATTGCTCACTGCTCCGCAGTTCGGTGGGAAAACATCTATAGGAGAGTGCAAAAAATGTATATTTAGTGACATGTTGCCTTGAGGAGGTTTTCCACCAACTCCCTGTGGTTGTCTGCCTTGTTGTTTCCGAGAAAATGTATTGCTACTAACTGGAAGGCGTTCCATGCCGTCTTTTCCTTGTCACGCAGTGCACTGTCAAATGCATCATCTCGAATAAGTTCACGAATCTGAGGACTAACAAAGACACCTTCCTTTATCTTAGCTTCACTTAACCTTGAAAGATTTCTACGGAGGTACTTGAAAGCTGCTTGTATTTTGTCCATGGCTTTGACAAAGTTCTTCATCAAACCCAGCTTGATGTGCAAGGGTGGTAACAAAATCTTCCTTGATTCAACAAGTGTTGGACGCTGGACACTTCCTCCCAGGCTCCAATGAATGTCGGTGTGGCCAATCTGTCTTGATGTAGTGGGAATCTCTCACACGACTATTCCATTCGAAGGCAAAACAGCAGTACTTTGTGTACCCAGTCTGCAGACCAAGCAAGAGAGCAACAACCTTCAAATCGCCATAAAGCTGCCACTGATGTTGGTCATAGTTTATGCACCTCAAAAGTTGTTTCATGTTGTCATAGGTTTCCTTCATATCGACTGCATGACCAACTGGAATTGATGGCAAAACATTGCCATTATGCAGCAAAACAGCTTTAAGACTCATCTTCGATGAATCAATGAACAGTCTCCACTCATCTGGATCATGAACGATTTTGAGGGCTGCCATCACACCATACATGTTGTTGCAGGCTACAAGATCACCTTGCATGAAGAAGAATGGAACAAGATCCTTTTGATGGTCATGGAACATGGAAACCCTAACATCACCTGCCAGGAGATTCCACTGCTGCAGTCTGGAGTCCAACAGCTCTGCCTTACTCTTGGGCAGTTCCAAATCCCTGACAAGGTCACCTTGTGTTATGAGGTGTGGTTCAGAGGAGGATGGGAGAAAATCTGGGTCATGTGACCTTGATGGTTCAGGACCAGAAGTTTCATCCTCTTCCTCGTCTGACTCAAGTGAGAATGATTCTGGTGCATCAGGAACCGGCAGTCCTTCTCCGTGGGGTACTGAGCATATAGCTGATGGAATGTTTGGATAATGCACAGTCCACTTTTTTTTCTTTGACATACCTTTCCCAACTGGAGGCACCATGCAGAAGTAACAATTGCTGATATGATCCTTTGACTCTCTCCAAATCATTGGCACTGCAAAAGGCATAGATTTCCTTTTCCTGTTCAATCACTGGCGAGGATTTGTTGCATAAGTGTTGCAGCATATGTGTGGGGCTCACATCTTGTACTGATCTCCAATTTTGCAGCCAAAATGAAGGTGATGGGCTTTTTTGATATGAAGCTTTCGTGACTGCAGGAATCCATAGCTTTCCCACCTGATGACGGACGCTTGTGTTGCGCCCGAAACGTCGTGAATTATTTTATTTTATACCTACGTGACTTTACCGAAAGAATCAGAGAGTATGTAATAGGATTTCTTAACCATAGTGGTTATACTGCGCCTTTGCGATGCAAAAGTCACTTCACCACAAACAGCAGAAGTTATCTGCTTTGTTCACACAATTACGAGGCATCTCTGCTCACTTCGGCTAAACAGAATTGTTTCCCTTTGCAAAATCAAACACTGACAAATACGAGAGCACGACACTGCATGATTTCTAGAGCTGATATAGGGCAATTTGTTCAGCAGAGGGATGTAAGTCTAGTTATGATTTCATCATCCATGACTTCTAGGAATAACATGATGCAATTCATAAAATGTATGACGCAATACCAGGTTCAGATTGCATCATGCATTATTTTGCTCAAAAAGCAAGTACTGGCCAAAACCAGTCATAGATTTATTCATAGATCCAGTCAGATATGTATTTTAGTCATTTCTGGTTTAAATTGAGATCCCTTCCCTTTATAACTCACTTATCCTCCGCCACTCCCAAGTCAAGGGTCGTATTTATTGACCCAGTAGCATATCTTGAACACTAGAGCCAATTAACAATTTTAAGCGTCATTTTCATTCTTAGTGACCCAGAATTAGTAAAGTTGAACTACATTTATTTCGGAAGCATTTTGGCTGTAGACCAGTGTATAATCGAACTCCGGTCGCCAAGTTTGTAGTGCAGCGCGCTAACCGTTGCACTACCGTTCCCCATATACACACACACACACACAGGGCCACACACGCGCACCACACACATCCATCAACACACACGGGCACATACACACAAGAAGACAAAGATGCCCCTATAGCCGTGTAATATCCTGTTGAGGCAAGTGCTGCTGGCAAAAACCATTAAGAATGGCACGGAGCATGAGGACGTGGTGTGGTTAGCACCACGCCCGGCTGCCTTTGTCCCCCCCCCTCCGCCGCGTGCAGATGTTTAAACAGCCTACTGGGTACTCATTTGATGTTTAATTGACCTAGGGAAGGAACAGGACTGGCTCAGATATCACTTGCCACTGATGGTAGCCATGGCTGGGTTTGTAGTAATCACACAACCACATCCCCACACAACAATTTCCCGCCACTGTTTTTGGAAGGGCGACTGTTTCCAAATGCCCAGTAGCGTCCTTCACGAGCCTCCTCCAGAGGCCGATCTTGAAACCGCTGGTATGCAGGTAGCTTCCAAACAGAGCTACGCAGGGGATGCCAATTCATGGCGTTTGACTGATTAGGAGACCTCTGCTGACAAAACCATAGCGAGTCATAAAGCACACTGCCCGTGTTTGGAATACTTCCCCACTCTCTTCAAAACTGACCCATCACTCATGGGAAATGGAGGGGGTGGAGTGTTTAATGACACAAAAACCCAGGCAGGTGCTTCGTTTTTGTGGGGCTAATGGTAAACCCCCATCTCTGA